ACATTTGTCAAAGGGTCAGCACTGATAGGTTTACGTATAGATGTAATGATTCTGCTGATCAGAAAGACTTCATAGACAAAGGATGACAATCCACGTCATCTTCCCAATAAATATGATGCTGCTGCCAAACAAAAATCACAACTAAGTCTGTTATTCTCTGCCCTTTGAAACATCAGAGTTTAATTTAAGACTTAAAAAGTAATTGTATGTGTACTGCTATGGAAACTAATGGAAAATAAATTGTATGTACTTTATACTGCAGGGGTCGCCAACTGTATTTGCAAAAATCACATTTTTGTCTAACATTATTATTCGATTTTTTATGTTAGAATCCAGTCACGGGCCAGATTCGGCCCGTGGGCCGCCAGTTGATTATCCCTAGTATACTGCATGTCTACAGTCAGACAATATTACTACTACATTTGACCTGATTTTCCACCTGATGTTATGAGTTTTTTTTTTTCAAAGGACAAACATTTCAGATCACATACAGTATCTGTATTCACATTATTATGGTGACATTTTATTTAAAATGTTTATATTTTGTCCATGTTTTGCAGACTCTGCCACTGGCCAGCATTAACAGCACCACAGAAGGTAAACATTTTATTTTAATTGTATTTCTGTGTGTTTCACTTAAAAATAAGCTTCTGTGGTTTATGTTTAGTTTTAACTGTATTTTTGGGGAGTATTTGGTGAGTATTTGGTGAGTATTTGGTGTTCTTACGAATTCATTCATTCCCTTTGATTCTCATGTGGTTTTGTTGAAAAGTAATTTGAAAGAAAATAAGGCTGACCAATCAAAACAGTCTGAAGACATGACCGGACAAGTGGTGATGACTCAGCAGTTTCCTGACCACACAATAATTAACTGGTACTGTTGAAATGAACTATGTTTAATATGAAGTACATACTGTATATTATCACCTGTCAGTACTTTCTGGGGCAGTTATAAGTGAACTGACTGTTGGCAGTAATGTTGTACATGCCTGTGGGTACTACTATGTTTCTGTACACACTGACACTTCATCGCAGTACTACAGTCTACATTCATCCCGGGCCTGTGTACTTTTATAAACAGCTGTTTTGGTGTCAGTCTCCACTCAGGGACCCCGCGGTCCCGCCTGCAGTCCCAGAGGTTGCCTGAGGGGCAGCTGAGCTCCAGATCTGCTCATGGCCTTGGTCCCCCTTGTTTGCCCCTCCCCCCTGTTTATTTGGCTGTAGTCCTCCCTGTTCCTCCCACACTGCCTGCGCAACTGGGATACTTTCACACATATACTCCCACAGGAAATGTTACTGTATACGAAATAAACATTGTACTTCAAAATGAAAACAGAATCCAGGCGTGGATGTCCGCTGGAATGCAGATTTTTTTTTTTTTGTATATGTGTTTTGATTGGTTACTACAGTAAGTACCAGTGTAGAAGTAGAAATATATGGTTTTGTTGTAGCAGTTGTCGTAGTCAAGTACAAGAACTCCCTGAGAGAAGTATTTGGGCTACGTTACCAATTAAGTTTATTTATCCTTCGTCTTCCTCTCCAAAATAAAAAAAAAGAATATACAAAATTACCAACCTTATATTTTTAAAAGATTGAAACTCATGGTGTAAGTGTAGACAGTGTAAACCGCAGACCATTGTTTTTCCAGAACTTCCTGGTGCTTGTCTGTTTGGGCTGTTCCAGCTCGTACAGGCAGCCAGCTGTCGAGTGCATTGTGGCAGCAACGTCCTCTGTAAAGACAGATGTCCTGCCATATGCAGACGATTCTCTGATGTGCATATAATTAATGCAGCATATAAAGACATCAGTGCAGTATTTCCCCAAAAATAAAATCACCCTGTGTGGGATAAATGATTGTTTTCAAATGCACCATATAAGGGCATGTGTATACAGTATATACATACATACATATTGGTGTGTGTATATACTGTATGTTTATATAATTGCAGTATATGTATATATGCATATATATTTGAGTATATATTTATACATGTATACAACATGATATCCACAACAACTGTGGAGTACTGTATAAGTATTTGTGTATTTTCAAAAGCCACGATTTAAAACGTCCTGTGGCTCAGTGGGCTGCCCAGGTACAAAGTCGACCTGGGACTTCAGTGTAGAACTCTAGAACTCGTGTGTTAACTCATGATCCGCTCCTATTGTCTTTTACAGTATTGATGTTCCAAGAGGTCTGGAGACGCAGCTTCTGCAGGACCATTGAGAAGTTGGTGGAGGTGGTGCTGGAGTACCCCACTGAGGTGGAGCACATTTTCAGCCCCTCCTGTGTGCCTCTGGTCAGGTGTGCAGGCTGCTGTGGGGACGAGAAGATGGAGTGTCATCCGACCAGGACCACCAACATCACCATGGAGGTAGGAAAACAGTCCAGGTTGAATGTTGGGTGAACATGAATCTGCTGTACTGCATTTGCATTTGTCCGTTTTTCTTCTTTTTTTTTTAATCCTGTAGTTGTTGAAAATCCGACCGTCAGATCGTGGTCAGGACTACATCCAGATGTCGTTTGTGGAGCATCAGTCATGTGAATGTAGGTAAGAGTACAAGTCAGGGTTTTTTTCATGAATATTCCTAAGTATGTGACGCTATCCCTGAAATCAAATCATGTACAAAATACTTATAATAATATATAAATATTGTTCTTGCTTTTATAAAGTTTACATTTTAGACATTGTATTACATTAAAAAGTTACATACCCCTTGAAGTATATTGACCTAAAGTACTAGTTACAGCATTAAAGTTACACTAACTTTCTCCTGGTACAACCTTAGGGAAATTCAGGTGTCTTTTTTACTGGACTTTTTTTTATCAATAAAGAAATATATAATTGTTTTATGCTAGTTTTCATGTATTTTTATGTATTTATCTATCTTATTTTTCATGTGTTTAAAATGAAAAGAACAAGTCTTTTATTTGACTGGTGTAGTGTTTAATTCTTAACAAAAACCTGCATTTATAAATGCCACTGGACAACACAGTTTAATTTAAAACAAAGTTTAGGGGGCGCTGCCGTATCGCATCACCAGTTTTGGAGTCTTTAACCTGAAAAACAGTGAAATGGACATTTAATTGATATGTCCTATCACTAGGGGGCATCCGGACTTGAACCGGAGACCTCTTGATCTGCAGTCAAATGCTCTACCACTGAGCTATACCCCCGTTGAAAAACCTTGCTGTTGGGGAGTTCAACTCCGGTCTCTCAGTCACAGACGGCGACACTCACCACTGTACAAGTGAAGGCAACACTATACAACAACACTACAATTTCTACATGTTTAAGTCATTTAAGGTTTTGCAACAAAACTGGGCCTCATTCAGCAAAAAAAAACACCTAAAGCAAAACAGCGCCCAGCAGTGGTCAAAGTATGGATAACACCTGAGACCGATCTCTTATCTCTTATTCATACTTTAGTATTCCTCGTTAATATAGTGGTGTATGGTGGAATATACCCGCTTGTCACGTGGGAGACCAGGAGTTGAATTCTCCGACAGTGAGGTTTGTCAGTGGGGGTATAGCTCAGTGGTAGAGCATTTGACTGCAGATCAAGAGGTCTCTGGTTCAAGTCCGGATGCCCCCTAATGGTGTGACATCTTTTTGGTTGGTTCCATAGTTTGGCAGTTAACGCACCTGCCTTAGAAGCAGAGGGCAGTGTCATGTGTTCGATTCCCAGAGGAACCACATGCTTGGTACCTGCCAGGGAGAAGATAATGTTATCAATAAAGATAATATTATAATGAATCAATTATTGAACCTCACCACATAATTCTCAGTCTCTGAGTTTATCATTCAACACTCCTCTTGCAACTTCACTGGAACGTTGCTAATAAACACAATGGACCAATTAGCTGTCACTCAAAATCTATTGGGTAAAACAAACGAAGTTTATTTAGGTGAAATTAATTGCAGTTTAAGACACATACTGTATGTGGCGATGAAATCATAAATGACTGTCAAATAACGTTGACTCTTGGTATTTGTTCCTCAGGTTAAAGAAGGTTAAACCAGTTGTTGATGAAAGGTAAGAACATGATCTCAGGAGCACAATTCATTTTTGTAAATTAATTGTCAGGTTTTGGTAAATGAAGCTTGTTGGTGTTTTAAGAAAAAGGCAAAGAGGACGAGGGAGGAAGAGAAAGGAGCGACAGAAAAATAAAGAATGCGACAGGTGATGATGAAATCTTTCATTATAATATGTCACAACCAAAAAATAGAAAAAAACAACAATATTAAAAATGTGTTATTCTTTCTTCTGTCCTCCAGGTGCCAGATCCCTCGCAGGTAACTGCAGTGGTGCCCCGACCCCCTGTTGCAGTACGGCTCATTATTTATTTCTCAGCCTGGTTACGGCGTCATGAGTCCCTTCAGCTCCACTATTAATTTTGTGTCTGCAGCCGATGTCTCAGTACACTGGGTCAGGACATTGTGCTGTTGGGCAGAGTGTTTGTAACCACAGGATTGAATGAGTGTTTTGAATAGGTGGGAATACCGTGTTCCCCTGACCTTAAGGAGATCCCTGGGAGCCAGTGCAATGTAGAATGAAACAGACTGATTCCTTCTCTATTCCATTAGTTATTACTGTATCAAATATTGTCATTTTTTTCATTTCATAATATAAAAATGTTATATTTAAAGGTGTATCCATTAAGATTTGTATTTATTGATGCAGGTGTATTTTCGTGGACCAGAATCGTGTCAAAAGCTTGTCCTTTTTTGTGTGTGCACACCACCATAGTATGTTGGATTCGTGTGCAGCTGCTTTGTACATGTTTCAATGAAATGTCGCCCTCTAGTGTTTACAGTCACTGTGTTCACGGCTGCCAAATTCGAGGTCCAATCGTAGAAGTAATTAAAGTTGAAATTTAAAGATGAATAACACTTTGACAATCAGTGATTATGTCGTTGATAATTCTCCTCATATGTTTTTTTTAACTTGACCAAAGTTGGAGAAAATGTCCTCCAATTTTTACTTCTTAAAAGATAAATATTAATACGTAATTAATAACAATTAACTATCAATTTTGTATTAATAAACAATGAAAAATATAATGAGCATTTTAAAAAGGGAAATGTTGACTCAAAAACAGTTCTGATTAAAATGATTATAGCCAGTGTTTGTTTATTAAACAATGGGCTAAAACTGAGAGCTATATATTTTTTCCTTTTTATCTGAAATGTCTGAAAAAAAAAGAAAGATATGCAGTCGTCGTCAGTCCCGTTTTGTGTGGACCCTGTGACTCATGAGCCTGAAGCTCAAGTGTTTGTCTTTGTTGTTGAAAACCCTGGTCGTAAACAAGGAGTCGACTGAAGTGGTTTTGTCAAATTGCTTCTTTTTTTTTTCTTGTACGATACAAAGAAATTCTCTCTGCAATGTACAAAGTAACATTTCTTCTATTTCAGCATTTATTATATTTGAATATTTATTTTGTAATTAAAATATTAAATTTATAACTTACCTTTGGCAAATCGTTTTTATCATAATTATTTATTGATTTGTTTATAGTGATATTACTAACTACTAATATGTAACAAATAGTATTTTCTGTACACTCGTGTCTTCTCGTGTCTTTGAAAAGCAGTTATAAAGCAGAACTTTGATAATTGTCTGATATACTCGTCATTATCAGTCTGTCTCGTAGTCTTTACGGATTTTGAGAAACAAAACAAGTTGCCGTTTGTATCCTTATAAAATCAATTTTTAAATTGACAGAACACTGTAACAACATCACTTCTGATAAAGGACGATGTCTTCGGTGTGGAAGTAATTTGTCATTTCGAACGTTAAATGTTACCCATCATAATGAAAACATATCAGATGACCAACAGATCCAGATAACCAACAATCCACGATAAGCCATCATAATGAAAACATATGATCCAGATAACCAACAATCCACGATAATTCTAGTACCTTCCGCCCGGGGGTATAGCTCAGTGGTAGAGCATTTGACTGCAGATCAAGAGGTCTCCGGTTCAAATCCGGATGCCCCCTAATGATCGGATACCTTTTGGCAGGTACGTATTGAGAGATCGTGGATTGTTAGTAAGGAATTACAAATTCCAATCCTGCTCCGTTTTACTGAGATGTTCAAATAATTCCCGATGCTTTTTAATAGGTTCACCTCAAAACATATAAACCAGTTCTTCCTTTTATAATATTTGAAAATACTTAATGTGTCAAATTATGTAAAATTATGTAAAGCACTTACCAAAAATACATCTGACTGAATTTTACGGGTTTTTGTGCACGAATGTATAACACATGTAAAGCACTTACCAAAAATACATTTGACGGGTTTTTGTGCACGAATGTATAACACACACTGTCTACAGAAGTGACCCAGGGTGTCATTTTAGTTTATTCCTGTATAGTGATCACGTGACAAACTCTTAACTCTTGAATGTTATGGGATTGGGGGACTTTAGTCCCCGGGTTTGCTTGTAAGGTCACACGGACGCTTGCTTTACGATGACATTATAATAGACATTAGGAACTTATGTTTTAGTCTCATAAATGAACACACAAGGTTTTATATAAACTCTTTGAAATCCTTAAATTCCTTATTAAATTCATTCCTTACGAATTTACAGGTAAACTCAATTTTATAAACGCGCCAAAGCGACGCGGCATTGAAGCCTGTGAGACTCCGTTGAGGGATTATAAAAACAACAGAACCCCGTCAACAACAAGGCGTAGCTAACGTTTGCTGAAGAAGATAGGATATATTGATTAGAAAATACTTCTCTGTTGGATACAGTGCGACTTTTTCCAAGCTATTTCTGCATAGGTAGGTTCATTAAATAATAAGAAAAGACAATAATTATAGTAGACAAATACTGTTTTGGTACCACAGCGACTAGCTGGCTAGCCCGCACACAGCTAACAGATATGACAGCACTGGGGTGGCGCAGTTAACGCAGTTAGGGTGCAGCAGTAGTTGTTGCTAACGTTAATGCATTTCATTCACTAAAATTGTGTGTGTTAGCTCATTTCTTGTTAGGGTCAGACAGCCAGCGTGTTCTAACTTTAATATTGGCGAGGTGTTTAAACGTCAACAACATGCTAATGGGCTAATTAAACAGACGTTCGTTAGTTAGTTTTTGTTTGTTTTGTGTGTCAAGTGCAGATTTCACCTTTTGTTTTCATAGTGTTTTTAACTTATATGTTTATATGCTTATATGCTTTGACCGAAATATGTAATTTAATTTTCTAAAACCCCTCAGAGTGAACTTTTAATAATGTATGATCATTACATAGCTAATATTCTAACACGTCAGTGTGATAAACATACAATTTATCCATTTGTATTGTTTTGGGGCTGTATTTCCGTATCGAAAAGACGTTCATTTTTATAATCTTATGTCCTTGTTGAAACTTTTGCTAGTATGTGGTAGGGCTTTCAAGTCACACCGCAACATCTAGTGGTGAAATTACACGTTCCAACTAAGTGTATCTTACCTTATACGTTTCCTGTCTAAAATGAAGTGGAACATGGGAGTAAACACTGATTTACGAATCTGTTAAAAACAAACAATTCAAAATGAAATATGACTGATTTCACAGTATTCTGCTACAGTATAATACTACTACATATGAACTACGTATGTCAGAGTATGCATCTATGTAATTTATTCTTGTAAAATATGGGCTACAATTTAGCACAAAAAAAACATTAACAAGCGTTATGAGAGATTAATAATTAAACTGACAGCTACACAGTTTCCTCTCAAAGTTATTAACAGAACATCATTAGAGCACCTACAAATGAGTCAATTCATAGTGTCAATTGAAACTTTGTTGAATGTCAACAAACAAAATCAAAACCCAGAAGACAAGTAAACAGAAGGAGAACAACCTTCATTGTCATTGTACATATACAGACACACACACAACAAAGTTTGTCTTCCACATTTAAACCAGCAACCTGTCTGGAGAAAAATGTCTTGTTGTCTTTCAAAAAGACTTGCCACATTGTTAGGGGGCATCCGGACTTGAACCAGAGACCTCTTGATCTGCAGTCAAATGCTCTACCACTGAGCTATACCCCCACGATAATGTACAGAAATGAGATATATTTTGCTATTCTTTGTAGCAAAAATCCTTTGATTGTGAGGTTTAACTATGGATCTCTGATTTTTTTTTTCCCAGGAGATTTTAACATGAGCCATTTCAGTAGACGCCACAGACACGGAACGTCATCATCTATCAGGACAACACACCTTGGGATGTCCAAGCATGACCTGGAGAGAGATTCAGGATTCTCAGGTTTGTGTCCATCACAGTTGTAATGCAGCCACGCAAAACGCTACAAGCTTTCTTGTAAAGGCAGCATTGTTCATGCTCAAATGACTGGAACACACATAACACAATATCAGGTTTTAAATTGTACAAAGAAAATGTTTATCTATGCAACTTTATTGTAGTTTATTAACTAAATCCTACTTCATCTAGGGCACCCCCTAGTGGCAGCTCTCACACACCCCAGTGTTGCGCAATTGACTTTAGTTTGGTCAGTTTGCTTCAGAAGATCACTCTGTTTTTTTCCTCTTTTCTTCAGATGCCAGCTCTGAGTACCTCAGTACAGTCGATCTGACCGACTCTGAGGGAGCTGGAAGGACGGGGTCCATTTACACCCATGACTCTACAGGTCCACCAGTGGCCGGGATGGGGGGCTCTTATCCAGGATTGTCTCCTATGATCATAATGAACCACTTTGTCCCAAATCAGGTACAACACAATACTGTGGTAAAGCATGGTTCCACTGCGTTTGAGTGATTTCTACTGGATAGAATTTAGGGAGATTGTATATATATATTTGAATTAGGTCAATGACATTAATACTGGATAGAATTTAGGGTCACCGAGATTGTTCATATATTTGAATTAGGTCAATGACATTAGTAACAATATTTATATACACATATATTGTTTAATTTAGATGGTAAAAGTTAATTAATAATACAGGATCTCCTGTTTACTAGACATGTGCTTTAACCAACTGAGCCACAGCGCCACCTGTCCCGCTGTAACATTCATCCAAAAATTGGAAGTCCAGATATGTTTTAAGTTGCGCTTAAAAGAGAAATATGTGTTGAATAGGAGAGACACATAATGGATAAAATTAAAGATGTTTTTGTTTTGTCCAGCAATCACTGGTGTCTCAAACACAAAAACAATGGGGCTTTTCTTCACCCATGGACCTGATGCCTCAATCACAGATGGTTCTTTTCCAACCCATGGTATCGAACAACAACAACAACAACAACAGCAGCAGCAGCAGCAGCAGCTCAAAGAAGACGACGTTTGAAAACGTCCGACAATCAAGAGACCGCGTTCCAACGGTTAAAACATATCCAAGAATTGCCCCACAGCCCGCAGACATGCTGCCAAAAAGGGTGGGTGTCTCCAGAGTGAAGGGGTGTTCAACTTCAGGATCCACCAAGCACCAGAGGAAACACCACCACAGCCACAGACCTTACAGCTCCACCAGCTCACAGCCGCCACTGCAGGCTCCAGTCAGAGCCATCTCCAACTACAACACGGTGAGCCACCAATCACAGGCTCCGTATCCAGAGCAGGTCAGTGACGCGTCTCTCCACCAGTTCCCAGGAAACAGTTGCCTTCAGTTGTCCGAAGAGGAATTCACCAGTGAGATGGACAGTCCCCAGGATCCCCTACTGATGGACAGCAACAAACTCCAACGATTCAGCAACACCTACAATATCCTTCACCAGTCTGGGCTGCTTGGGATCACAATGCGCACCAAACAGCTGATCAAGGAGAATAAGCACACGCAGAGTCAGTTACAGCAGCTTCAAGGGCAGACGGCTCTGCTGCTGGAGGCTCTGAGCAGCAGAGACCCCCAGGTCTGGACTAGACTACAGCTCTCTCTGCAGACCATGGACAAGGAGCAGCTGGGAGTTCAAGGAAACACACTGACAGCGTAAGATTTTTTGCACATGAGCAGAACATTCCATTTCAGCAGCGGACAACCAACCATTCACTGAACGTGAGAAAAATATTAAAAAAACTTTGAATGTAATCATGTAAATATCATATCATAAATATCAGTTAAAAACTCCTGAGCGTACAAACCCAGGATTCAGATATGAGGCTATTGGACATATTTTTCATATATTGTATTGAAATGAGGTAGAATGCTTATAACTTTTACTTTACTTTTTTCTAATAACCAAAATTCTTAAAAACCTTGCTCTACCTTTAAGATTTTATTATTGTCACATTGCAAAATGGTATGCCTTAAAATAGGTTTCAGACAAAGTCTGATTACTGTATTTTTCGGACTGGAGCTCAGGTCTGTCAAAGGCATTTGTCTGTCAAAAATTGTGTAGTAAAGGGAAATAAATATATAAGGCGCACTTTATATAGTAGGCAAATACTGGTCGCAATATTCAGACTTGTTGAGCGTAGGTGGTGCCCTCTTGTGGTCATAAGTGATATCGCCTATATTTTTGTTAAATAGGTCACTGTGCAGTATACTGTACGTAGCAGGACCAGCCAGGCGACCAAAATACAACCCACAACCCATGTTTTTATTAGGTCTTAGACATAAATGTTGTGCCATCGTATGAACAAAAATGCGATGCCCCTTTTTTGAGTAAAAAGCAGGAATATGTTTAAATGACATGTTTAACAAACGCAGATCCATTTCACTCTCTTCGTCATTAGACTTTGATTCCATTGATTTCCGTGTTTTTTTTCTTTTCCTCAACTACTTCAGATCTTTTCCCCAGTATACTGGCCTACTTTCCCAGTAGATTTCCCAGTAGGAGAAAAATGAAAAGGTGATTCCCAACCCACTCTGCTGTAATGGATTCTTCTGGCCAACGTCAAAAATAACTGAACAGTTAATACACGTGTTATAAAGAGAAGCTTATGAATCTGCTCCCTGATATATATATATGTGTGTGTGTGTGTGTGTGTGTAAATATGTTTAATGTCACTTTACTTCGTTTGTTTGCATACTGGTTATTTCCAGGTATTTTTTAAATATTTTTGCAGAGACTTTGCACGTACACATTTGCCCAAAATCGTATTTTAAACCTTAACAATCAATAAGTAAAACCACAAACAAATGACATTTTAACACAACAAATATGAAACGGAAATCTGTGATTAAAATCATACTATTTTCTACTATCTGATCAGTTTAATGTTCAAAAGATTTGACAGAATTAACTTTTCTGGACTTCAATTTGTTTTTTTTACATAACACATAAAACATTCTCAAACTTTGAACCACTATTTTTTTTTAAACATAAAGAATTTAAAACTTCTATTTTCACCCATTTTCAGAGACGTAGTACAGATCAATTTACCACACAAATACTGGAATTAATGTGTTTCCACAGTCACTGCTGCTTTTTGTCAGTCAGTTATTTTTAATTTGCCTGGAGAAGGGTGCAATGTTACAGCAGCGCTGAAGGGAGTGGCCTGGCAGGACTGGAGTCTGGTAATCCAACTCCACTCCACTCACATGTTCCAGTTTTAATGTTTGTGGTGAGGATTGAGCTCAGATAAAGTGCAAATCAATCAAAAATGTACATATATAATACAATGACTAAGCCATTGAAAATGTACAGCCTTGTACTTTGGCCAGCTACCTAGGGGAGTATTGTTTAAAAAAAAAAAATACCTAGGGGAGTATTGTTTTAAAAAAGTATTTTGAGACACTTTAAATGATGTATGAATGTAAAATTTGCCAGCGTTTATTTGTAAACAATGTGGCTGCTTTTTCTCCATGTACTATGTTATGTTAACAGAGAGGATGTTGTTTTCTGAGCTTCTGCACTTTAGCTGAAAAAATGATAGACTTGTTTAGTCTTTTAGACTTGTATGTAGTTTGACAAAATTCTATAAAATATGAATATTTAACTGGATACCTGTGCCTTCAATTATGTCGGTTTTCTTTCGTATTATTTAGGGATGTTTGATAATATCGGCCAACTGATATTATTGGCATAATTATGTAAAATTTGTAAGAATCTTTATCGGGTTTTTACCCTCCGATAATGAATACTCGATGACGCATTGTCTGGGCTTCACCAAATGATGTGTGACCTGAAATTACATTTTGGGGAAAACGGCCGCATGTGAAAGTGAATTGTTGTCACAGCACACAATGAAATGTGTCCTCAGCTTTAGTCAGCAGGGGGCAGCAGTGTGGCGGGACGGTGCCATGTTCAGTGCAACCATGGAGACCTAATGGCTGATAGATTCAAACCTGCAACTTTCTGAACACAAGTCCACCTTCCTAACCACCAGGCCATTACTGCCACGCTTTATTGGTCACGCTTGATATCGGAATCAGAATCTAAAGCTCATAAACAATATCGGCATATCGGATATCAGCAAAGAGTTATTATCGGACATCCCTAATGTTAATGCTTGGCAGCCTCTTTTGTTTTATTTTGTGAATTTGATGTTTAAAAAAGTTTGTAACACTAAGAAGATTTTTAAGGAAAATTAACTTTTACGAACAGAGGAGGATCCACAGCTTTGGTCCGCTTTTGTATAGAGAAATAAAAGTTGGTTTCTTCAAAACATACAATCCCCTGTTTATACTATGCTATTTATGAAGCAACATTTTCTATTAACCAGGAAAATCATTTTGAAGAGGTTAAAAAGGCTTTTTTTCCTTGTTATGGTCAAAGGTGTTGTCTTTATCTGAAGCAAAATCCACTTTGACTAATAAAACAAATCCACCTGGTCACAGCTGTCATCTTTAAATGGAGAGTTCTTTAAAAAATGTTCTGTTTTTATCAAGTTGTGAATACTTTTATTGGTATACCATGATTAGACAAAATAGTTCTAGAACGTTCTGAAATCATTTGACACAACACTGGGCACGGCCGTAGCTGTACAACAGTGTAGCAGTGAACAGCCGTACAGCAGACCTCGTCTGTTAGAGTCCGGTGAATAGAGATATTTTGGGACAATATTAGGCATGTGTATGAAAAATGAAAAATATTTATGGCACATTGTGAACAGTACCCTGGATAAAAATATGATTACTATCTTCACAACCCTACAAAGTACAAAGTACTTTGATTTTCTACTCAGAAAAATATACATATACTGTCTACACAGAAATAAAGGTGTGGTACTGAGTCTGGCTGGAGCTCACTTCATTGATCTAGCCCTTATTAAATCAACGTGGGTCATTGTCCATAGGTAGTGGTTCCCAAAGGTTTTCTACAGCGCCCCCACCCCTTTGTAGATGGAACTATTTTCACTATTTTCCAAAAAGATTATACTTAATTGACCAAAGTAAATAATAATAAAACTCATTGCATTTTATCTGTCTTGCTAACACCCCCCCACCACCACCACCATACCACCGTCCCTCCCCTGCAATTGCTGTGTGCCCCCTTGAGGACCACACCCCACACTTTGTGAACCCCTTATGGATTTTTTTTTTTTACTGAACACAATATTTTAGCATCAGACCAGACACACTGTGACTGTTGATCAAAGCACTGGTCCGCGGCCCATCAGCGGCATATAACAAATACTGTAGGTGAAGCTGTGAGGTCATGAAAATAATGTTACATTTCTATGTTAGCATTAAGAAGAGTATATTAAATATACCTATTTAAAAAAACAATTTATATCCTTTAATATATTATATATTAATAATAGAGTATATTACTAATAAAGTAGTCAACGCAGGAACCCAGCCCTTTTTAAACACAATGTTCTGTCGTCTGTTTGAGAACTATTTGCTATTGGACTAAATTATTTTCTTTCTACTTAGTGACTGTAAACAACAGCACTATGTGTTTGATACAACGTTTTAAGGATAGTCCTACAGTACACAGTATACTCTATGAAGTATCACATAACTTATATGGCTCCTGTCCTTAAAGGAATGTATACTAAATCCTTAATAAAGCTAAATAAATCACTATATATTATAGGTAAGCTGTGGTTTACAGAAGTTGTTTGTTTTTCACTTCCAAAACCAGCCAAGCTTCTGCCTGTTTTTCACAGCATCACATGTCAACCACCGTTGGCCCTTTTGTTGGCTACAGTAGCTCTCAGTCTTCTTTGTGAGCGTCTGTGTCGTCCGTGCACGTCTCCACAGTCTGCACAGGCAAGAACAGACCGAGGATCCAGCGCGTTCCAAAAACATCCTTGAGGTTGGTTCTCCAGGGGTTGTGGTTCTCTACCAACTCCCCTCTCTGCATCTGACACCAGGTCTGTCCCCGTGCAACCAGGAGAACCTGCTGGCAGCAGAACCCCGCACAGACCAGGCCGATGCCCAGCCACACGTAAAGCATCAACACCACGAAGAGCTGCAAGCCGGCGATAGTTCCTGTGAAGAAACATGACCACGACAGCATTAGGGGTCAAAGGAAATATTGATACGCTGAAATAATGCGATATTTCATTTTCCGATACCATAACATGCAGATATTTATGGCATTGGTTCATTTTATTTTGCTTTTATTTCTTCTTGAGCGATTACAAATGTAGGTCCTTCTGTTCCAGTTTTAGTAACCAGATGTTAAGTGAGTATGCTGACGGTTTTCCTACAATTAAATTGTTTTCAATATATCGTCGTGATGTATGCTAAGAGTTTTCCTATGATTAAATTGTTTTCAATATATCGTCGTGCCGATATTATCCCAGTATATCGTAATATATCGTATTGTTGCCCCTGTATCGTGATATGTACCGTATCGTCCGACTCTTTCCAATACGCAGCACTAGACAGCATCGATATTATCATTATCTGAGAAATGTGGAAAAGAAATCTTCCCATCAACTCACCCATGAAGAAGTAGCCCGTAGAGAAGGGCAGCAGCGTCAGGAAGGTGAAGGGGTTTTCAAAGGACATGGAGAACTCCACCGTGAGGAAGGCCACGCCCAGGACCAGGGAGTACAGACACGTGCACGACGTGTAGATGCAGAACATGACAAAGTAGCGCATGTTCTTGTTGCCGATGCAGTTTCCAGTGAAAAAGCAGTGGTGATCCCGTTTGAGGATAATCTTCCTGCACAGCTTGCAGAAGTGGCGGCCGTTCAGGAGGTAGTGGGCGTCCACCTTGTCCGAGCAGTGAGGCGAACACACGGGGACCGCGGTCTCGTTGGCACTCTCCGAGGTGTATTTGATCGTCATGACGTAGTTCCCCAGAGCATTAAACATCAGGTAAAGGAAAACGACCGTGTGAAGTGTGGTACAACCCCCGGGTGACGGGCCCTGGTTTGGGAATATTGTCGGAACGAAGAAGCAGAAGTGCAGGATGAAGGTGGCAGCGGTGGCTGTGAAGAAGTACGCGGGTGCTACGGCATTGAGAAGCCGCAGTTTGAGCATCCTGGTGAACATGTCTGTGTAGTGGGGGAAAACGGTTCAGTTGAACAGTGTCATACAGTTGTTTCAGACTTTATTAAGTTGTTAGCGAGGTAACAGCCTAATAAGATACGGGACAATGTGTTGCTTCCAGTTAAGGAAGTCCAGGAGTCGCTGTAGAACTAGGCTAGATAGATCCACATCATCAAAAAAGGAGGTTTGGGGGGGGGGGACCAATGACAGATACAGACCATAATACTCTTAATACATTAAAAAAACGTGTCTTAAATATAACTGCTGGAGGGTGATTTAAAATAAACCGACAATCCACCTTAACTCCCCCGTTGTCCTCCTGGGTATAGGTGACCCGGTGTCTGATTATATGTCACCGCTTAAAACCACGAACGTCAAACACAACAACAAATCTACTACCCACACATGAACGCGCGCGCGTGCACAAATCAGCCAACGGGTCACCTATACCCCAAAAAACAACGGTTAGGGTTCGAATAAATTGAAATGTTATCAGAGAACACATACAAAATTGTCAAATAAAAACTCTGACGTATTCAGCCACGTATGTTTATGTGAGTTATTTCGTTCTGAAAGTTCAGCTCAACGTTGTATGAGGTTGTTTTTACAGACAGTTTCAGTCCGGGTCTCGGTTTTTTTTTTTTTTAGTCTAATGTGGGTCTGGAGATTCTCCAGAGATTTGGAGATCACCAAAAATACCTCATCATTTTCACTTGTGGTTTCCTGACCTGCAGCTGTAGCAGACGAGTGAACCCCCCCCCCCCCCCCGCACCCACCGCACCCGCCCGCCCACGATGTACATGTACATTCACAGTACTCGAGCTCCTCGCATTCAAAAACAACCATCTCTTCGTCTACGTCACTCTGTCATTCTTCCCGGTGGTCACGTCAGGCTCGTATCTGTAATGGCGTCAATCATTATTTATTTTTTTCTAAAATGAACAAATCTTCTGTAACATCTACGCCACGCTCCGGTCCAGATGTATTTTTATTTTTTACCTGCAGCAGTCGGAGAGCAGAGGAGCTGTCCTTTCAGCACCACGCAGCTGCAGCTCAGATCTCCGCGGCTCCTCCGGGTCACTCTCTGAGGTGTCGTGTCGCCGCACTGACGTCCTCCTATTATCAAACGTGTGTCAGCTGCTTTGTCTACCGCCGCCTGTTGGTCTGGATGCGTCTGGATTATTTACAACTTTTATAACAATCATGTATTAATGTATTTACGGTACATTTGTGTTCTTTGTTTTGTTTTGTTTTCACCCGATCTCCGGTCTGGTTTCATTGGTTGTTGTGATGCTAACAGATAAAACGGTAGAAGAACAGAGTGTTTAATATTGAATGCAGACGGTTCAGTTGTTTGTTTTGTTTTCATGACATTCCAGCTGTTATTTACATACATATATATTTACATACATATACAGTATAATATACAGTATATGTATAAGGTCCAAATATTTCACTTTTTATTGAAAAAAACAACAACTAACTTTTAACCAGAAATTAAACCCATGGATCAACATTACTTTACACAGTCATTAGTGAGATAGATTAAATAAATATTCATTGAAACATTTAAAGCAGCAGAGGTCGGTGTAATGATAAAGGATAAAGAATAATAAACCATATCTCAAAAGTACATATCCATAAAATACTATTACCTCAAATATTACAAACACTGTCTCTTTTTCACTTAAACAATTTAAAAACATATTACACCACCGTCAGAAATGTTATGATATTACAACATTTTTTATGATTGATGGTTAGAACGCTTGCCTTGCAAGCAGGAAGACCTGGGTTCGATTCCCGGAGGAACCACATATTCCTAATGGCGTCCCACGCGTGGCAGCTTGTGTCGTTGACTCACTCTGTGAATTCCCTCAATGTGGAACCAACAAGAGACTCAAATAATATTGTGATTATCGGAGTATTGAATTCTTTGCAGTGACGTTTCGTAATGATTTGAACTTGGATGAAGACTCCAGATCACTGCAGTCCACGACCGCAGTATGATGTATATTATGCTGTGGTATTCTGTCACTTTATGTACTGAAGTTGAACTGTGATCTCCAGGTATTACTGCAGTGTTTCAAAATGAATGTGTACTGGCTAAATGGCTGCTGAGAACGTCTCTGAGCTGCAGTCAGGGTGTAATGTGTCATGACGTGGGGAAAATGAAAAACTGACAGATGTGTTTATGTCAGGGATAACGACACAGTGGGGATTTGCAAGACAGTCATTTTTCCTGTAGGTGGCAATGCATCCCCGGCCATTTCTCCTCCCACGTGTGGGAGCTGTCATATTAGTGATGTGGATTTATTGTGTGTTTTATGTAGTGTAATATAATAGACGAATACTGTGGGGTTTTTAAACATGGAGTATAAAAAAAACGAAGTACACGTTTCAAAGTCACTCACAGAATTCTATTTTTATTGTAAATGTTATTGTCGAGTCGAACCACTGCCCGACACTCCCTGCGCTGCCTCAGAGGCAGGTGTTCGACTGTCAGACGGTCCCTGAGCAGGTGGGAGTTTCTCTTGTTTCTTGGTGTGGGATTAAAAAAAAAGAAAAAAGAAATCACAACACTCTCTCCATCTCCAGTCGAGTACAGCGGTCAGGACGCGTTCTGAGGTGAGGGCTGTTTGTTTTTTACTCATTCTCGTGATTCTGATGGTTGATCCACCGTGGACCTCGGGCTGCTTTATCGGCGCTGCTTTGTGGCGCAATCGTTTTTCATTTCAAGTTAGAAATCAGGAAGAAGACGGAGGGAGTGTTGACTGTTTGTGTGTGCGTGTGTGTGTGTGTGTGCTGCAGTCGACGTAACAGCAGAGCCAGTCAAATGTTGATGACTTTTCCACCTTTATTCACCAACGCTGGGGATTGAAGACCTGATGAAAGGTCCTGGCGTCGCGTGTTGTTGTTGTTGCCTGGTT